TATCCTGGCCCGGAGGTATATTGTTGTCCGTGTACAGTCAATATTGCATCGCGCATCAACATTCCAGTTTTATTGTAAGAAAGCAAATTATTAGTTGGAAACTAGGAAAGTTTTTGAAAAATATTTCTCAGAGCTTGAACTGCTTGTGTTCAAGATGTCTGCACTTCTTAATAATATATGAAAGCTCATTTTTTCTCTATCAACTCAACTTAATCGACTAGGCTTTGAACTAAGTTCAATCAAATGTACCATTGCGATGTGAAAATTTGATCACGTCGAAAGCAGGTATTTGTTTTATATTAATAAAACCTCAGCTGAAACGCATTGCATAATTTAAAAAATATTTTGCTGCCATTACCACAACATACTAAAATTTCATTGTCTTCAGTAATAACTGATGCGTAATTGTTTGGATATAGGATCAATTGGAGATAAGATTGAGTAGAAATGTAAGCATCGATTCTGCCATTACGCAAGCCAGTGATAAATCTTGCAAGATGTCGGATTTTGGATTCAGAAAATGCGCTGCTTCCATGATAAGTTCTTTCGCAAACAAACCCTAGCAAAACAGACCCTAGAAAATATACACAACGTCGCGTGATAACAAATCCCTTTTAAAAGTACAACATTAAACTCGTTTTTATTGTAATGAACTTTTAAACTATTAACAAAACAAATTTAGCGGCATCTCAAACCATAGCTATAAACTCGGTGAAAATAAAGCAAATTCAACTAATGTGTGAGCGCTTACGAGACCAATGCACGTCCCAATTTCTATTTGAATCCACTCCAATGCAGTTAGGAATACTGCTTGCTCCAGAGCTTCTTGTATGTCATAGCGGAAACTACAAAATAACATATTTGAGCACAGCTAGGACAGTTCACAATGCTTCTGAAAGGTGCTATGGTTTGGTTTGAAATAAGCACATCACCCCTTTCTCTGTTTCAGCATATTCGTATACATAAACCATCGGCACAAAATACCAATCAGCGTCATCCATTATGTGACGACTGTACTTCGGATTTTTCGGCATCGGAATTACAACGAAATATATATATCTCAACCATAGATTTCACAACAATTGTAAAACGAACCCATTTTGCGATTGAGTTAAGTTTGGCAACATCATGGTAGCTTTTCGAAATATAGAGACTACGTGGCGGATCTATCATATTTGGCGTTGTAAACTAGTTAGTTTGAATGTTCAAATCATTAGGATGATAGTCACGTGCAAGAGGATTGATGAATGTATTGGCAGTTCACAAAACCACTCTTCGGTTACGGGTCCATCTAACATTAATTCCACCCATCATGTAGGGGAGATGCGGGAGAGATGAGTCATTTTTTATATATTTAGTTATATCTCCTCAATCGTTCGTAGCAATTTGAAGACGCTCATATCGTCCGAAGGTCATTACCTCTGCTATATTACAGTATGTCTCTTTTAATCCAACTGACCCTGTTTCTGAGTTATACCAGTTTTAAAAAGGGATGTCAGATGTCACAAGTCTCCTGCATGTTGAGGAGAGTTGTGCATACCATTGATGAGAGTTGAGCCGCTACATGCAGAATGGCACGGGAAGTAGCGTTTAAGTTGCAATCGGGAGAGTATCTTTCACAAATGTGAGATGCAAATACTTCTGTATCGGAACCGTGAGGCAACTGGGCAAATTTAACTTAGCTAATCTTAAATAGGAGTCAATGCATCTATAATTGGACACGTAGTGGACATAACGATCGTTTCAATATTATGTTGTTGTTGTTGTTGTTCTTTGACACGTTTTTAAAAAGTCGCTTTTCTCTTCGAATACTGGACCAATTGCTTTGAAATTTTCAGTGGTTAAAGATAAAAATTTTCTCCAGAAGGCTATTACTTTTTTTTTCGCTATGACGTCATCAAAATTATGTGACTCTACGTGTCCATATATTTGAGCATAGCTCTCTTGTCCTATTTATTTTTGTCAGTCAATACAGAATGGAACCAAATTATACCGCCGAAGCCTTCTTATTACACCTTGGTAGCACCTAGAAATCGAAAAGAAACGTTTATTCATAAGTTGAAATAGCGTGTGACAGAGTATGTGAAAATCAAAGGTTCCATTCATCGAGGTCACACGAGAACGTGAACTGGGTGCGACGTGAAGTTCCAATAATGCTAGGGATTGGTAATTTTCTTGCAATGTCTTTCTTCGACCAAAGTGCTTCATCTTCGACATCCAGAATAAAAGTAGTTCGGTCATTTCCGCTTAAAACCCGGCGGAGAAACACTCCTTCGAACTCTTCTCCTTCGAAAGCATCAACTCTTGCGACGTAGTGAACAATTCGAGATTTTCCACTAATTTTGACTATGACAAAATCGCCCTCGATAATATTTTGATCTTCCTCCTCTGAGTCATCAGTATCGTCACACAATACATTCTCGTTAGATTCACTTTCGCTCGAAGAAGTCCTACATCCGGATGGTTCTACCCTCACTCTAACTGTTTTCTTGTTTGCAAAGAGCATTATTTTAGCCCGGCCGAAGTTCTTTGCTCTATTTTTTTCTATCCTAGCCACTGATTTCGCTGCTATTTCATCTCTAACTGGCGTGTCTGTCAAAATTTTCGTGCTACCTTTTTTCCTATTGGAAGCTTTCACGTTCCTTGGCCCTGCTTTCGGTAAAGGTAGTATATCACTTGGAGACACATAAGGAGTCTCCGCGTTGGTAGTCTGCACTGCTCTAGTCCTAGTCCTCTAGTACAAATGCGCAGATGTGAGCTTCGTTCCCCAAATAAGCTATATCGTATATAGACACAGTCTTACCCGGATTGGACCACATCCAATTATCCATCGCGCGCGCGTAGGCTCTTTTGTATGGTCCATAAACAGTCTTGTCTAAAGGCTGGAGTTTGTGGGACGTGTGTGGAGGGATGGTCAACACCACAACTCCGTTCGCCTTTGCCTTGTCAACAGCTGTCAGTGAAACGTGGGCCTCGTGATTGTCTAAGATGAGCAATACCTTTCTGTCGGGTATACAACGTTTATGCTTAATGAAGTGATCGAGATAGTTGACGAACGTTTCCTCGTTAATCCAACCTGATCTGGTGGCCGCACCGTCAGATCTCAGTGGCGCACCTCGTATGAAGTAATTACGATAATTGACACGGGGAAATATCATGTAGGGCGGAATAAATCCACCAGCAGCGTTGATCGCATTGACTACGGTTACCAGCTCACCTCTTTCACCTGATGTGACAGAACCAATCTGCTTAACCCCTTTTTCCGTAACAATGCTCTCAGGCTTTTGCACCGTATGGCACCCTGTTTCGTCGATGTTATATACGTCTTGTGCCTCGAATTTGTGTTGGTCCATTACTTTGGCAAGGTTTTTGTAGAACTGTCCCACTGTATGGTGATTAAACGCCGTTGCTCTGGCTAATGAAGTAGCTTCTGGACTGCGAATTGCAAGGTTATTGCGTGCTTTCAATCCAAGCCAAAACCCTTGACCAGCTTTTTTGTTGATTTTCCAATTTTGTTGCACATCAACATCGTTTCTTTCTGCAAACTCATACGCCAAACATCGGCATTTATCTTTGGATAGGCCATGGTAGTTTGCTGCAAGTGTTTTGATGTGACTGGCTAGTTCAGCTTCCATTTCAGGACTGAATACCATATTCTTGAGCTTGCAATTCTTGTTTCCGCTTGTACCAAGCGGGTCATGTTTTTGTTTATCATGTATCGCGTAAGCGTCATTCGGTCCACATCAAATGTTCTCGCTGCCGATCTAATACTGCATCTCCCTCTTTTACCGCTTCTGCCGCTCTTTCGACTAATGCCAGATCACTTCAATGGGTTGATTTTCTTTTGTATGTTTGCGGCATCGTCTGATAAAGAAAAAATGTGATGAAAAATATATCCAATGCAGGAGCGTTGAGCCACGGAGCAACCCTCCTGGTGACCGCTGGATCAACCCTCCCATGATCGGCCATCTTCCCATTTGAGCTCCGCTACTGCCGAATGACTACACGACGTGCGCTGCAATAGACTCCATTAGAGCATCACAACATAGACTACACAATGACTTAATGTGACTAAACCACGACCTGTAATATTATTAATAGTAAACATATTAGGCCTACCTGAGACCATGAAATTCACTTTTTGCTGCGATTCCGGCTTTTTCATTAACTGTTTTCCACCAGGGCTACAGAACGTCTGCTTCTCACAGCCAAATATAAAGTAATGACACAACCTACCAACCGAGGGCGTGGAACAAGCCTCCTCGTGGCTCAAGTCACCCGCATCTCCCCTACTGATAACTCGGCGGTAGGCCATGTTTCGTAATACATATAATTAAACAGTCTTAAAATCCTTCCACTTCTCGAGATATATATATATATATATATATATATATATATATATATATATATATCTAATACGGTAGTTAAGTAGACATACCGTGCTAAAAAAGCGACAGTTATGTAGACGGAAAAATTGGGTAGACATTTTCCTGTCCGCTTAATTATTCCACGTTCCATAATTAAAACGTTTTGCGATATTTTGCTGAAATCTCTTTTTCTCTGATAAAACAGTATCAAAATTAATATGTTCTTTCAATATTTTTTTAAATAATTGCACATTTTCGCCAACTTTAAGGGGACATAGTTCTGCTGGTTTATAATCAACGGGTTTAATTTTCGTACATAAAGTGGACATTTTATTTATGCAAAAATCTTTTAATTTTTCGGTATATGTTTTTACGATTTTTGGAGAGTAGGTTTGATAATTTTGATACAATAACCAGGCAGAACATGAAGATCGTCCGTTCTGTTTTTTGCAATATAAGCTCAATAAACTGAAAAGGATCTCAATTCACAACTCCGTACTAAAGAGGCTTTGTGTCGCAATAGTAAAACTGTCGGGTTCGCCGAGAACTTTACCACGTTTGCCGTTTTGTTCGCAAGTAACCCTGGGCGCCGTGAGGGGATTGGGATCTTCATGAGTGCGTGATTGCCGAAATTTAGATAAAATAGAACAGTTGTGTTTGGAGTAGCTATCCAAGTCTTTTGTGTCAGGTGTTATCAGTTACCCAGTGAGTTGAAGTCGAGTCATAATAAGGATTTCAACGTCACCGAGGAATGCTGCTGGAAATCATCACTCATCGGATAAGGTGATTAGTCATAACGATTTTTAATATTAGGGTTACTATATTTTTGGTGTTGAGATTTTTCACGTAATCCAGATTATCAAAATATAGACTACTGATACTGTTATGCTTTTACTGGTCGTAGTTCTGATCTGACCATCAAAATAATGCTACGACTGGGTTTGCGTTTGTAAGAGTGTGTAATTCAGAAGGATTTCTAAATCCAGATGAAAATACAAACGAAGATTGTGAAAATTCAATGAATTCAATTTTTTGTCGAAACAGAAGGATATACGAGAATCGAGTAGTTGACGTTTGTATAGCTTGGTGTAAATAAAAATATCTAATACACCGCTTCATATTAGATTAGAATATTTCATCTTCGGAAAACAGTTTTGAAGAATTGCATTGCTAGCAATTTTGTTTTGTGATTTGGCACATGTCCCTGTGTTATTTTACCATCTTCATCTAGTTATTCACCGGGCTGTATTTTTTGTTCACATGTAGGTGACTCTCCAACGAGATAGCCTACGTTTCAGAACTTGGCAGACGGAAATGCGGGTAGTGATTCGGAGAAAGCTGTGCCAGGAGGTGACTAAATGAGTTTGCTATGCTAGTTTTTTTTATTAAATACAGTATCGTAAATTGATACCAATGAATGGTAATAAACCAAATCATAATATCATTTGTAGCCCATCACAAATAGCGCAGCTATCTACGAATAATTGTAGTGCAACGTTTAGAAACTCTGGTTTATTTGAGTAATAATGCAATTATCCATTTCAAACATTTCGTTTGTTCGATCAATCAAGAGTAGCGTAATTCTGAATTGGACTAAAACACTGTGATGATGTTTTGTGACTTATGCATGTATTTTTGACCAAAGTTTCAGATAAGTCAACAGACTATACCGCACCATCTTCAGAATCACTTTCAATAAGCAATTTAAGTGATTTCAAAGAAAACCATATATATGGAAAAGAAAAAGGCTGTAAATCAATTAAAAAAAAGCTTCTAAACAAACGCGAACCAGAAAAGAAACGACGAAAAGAAAAATAATTGCACGGATTGGTATATCTTGCGAGAAGTTTATTGTAAAGCTTTAAGACATCTCTGTATAATTCATAAAGATGAACCGGCAGTGAGCATAATCTTGTCTCTCCTCAACAACTTAACCTAGTGAGCATATCCACATTCGTATACATACTTGGCATACATTTTTACTATTTAATTATAAATTCAAAATAACAATCATGTTTTTGTTTTCCGAGTTGGTGCAAAAATTTTAAATAAATTGTGCAAAGATTCTAAATTGATATTGAGGTTCAATAATTTCATTTTGATCGCTTGTATAGTTGACTGTATAATCAATCACTGCTATAATTAGGCGCCCTGATAGGTAGACATTTGAGTTATTTGGTGTAATGTTTCTCATTTTAGTTGACATGGCAAAATTTCGTTTCGCATTTATAGGCCCCACTGAAAACGTCACTTTATTGAACATTTGAGATATGTTTGTGTATAATGTTTCTCGATATTTTATTCAGAATTTCGTGTTTTAATTATATACCTTCTGAAATGGTCGAATGGTTGAAATTTTTTTTGAATGCTTCTCAATATTATTGCCATTCCAAAATATCATTTTGCATTTACATGACACACTTACGTAGCTGAGTAGATGACGATTTGCGATTAATTTTCTGTTTTGTTTTTCAATACGGTTTCAAAATTTTGTTTTATAATATTTGTCACTCTCAAGTTATCGGATAGGTGAACATTAGAGATAAATTTTGAGCAATTTTCCACAACATCGAAATATGATTAGTATTCGAAATTTCGTATTTCAGTTAAATTTCACACACTTAAGTGTGTGAGATCTATTTTGTGTAAGATTTCTCAATACGATTCCAGAATTTTGTTTCAATAGTTGTATGCCTCACTTAGGTGGTCGGATATGCGGACATTTGAGATATATATTTTGTGTAATGTTTCTCAATTATTTCAGAATTTTCATTTCAATTTTTGTATACCCCACTTAGGTGGTCGGATAGGTGGACATTTGAGATATACTTTGTGTAATGTTTCTCAATATGATTTCAGTTTCATTGCGATTGTTTTATGCCACACTTAGGTGGTCGATAGGTGGACATTTGAGATATACTTTGTGTAATGTTTCTCAATGTGATTTCAGAGTTTTCATTGTGATTGTTTTATGCCACACTTATGGTCGGATAGGTGGACATTTGAGATATACTTTGTGTAATGTTTCTCAATATGATTTCAGAATTTTCATTTCAATTCTTGTATGCCACACTTAGGTGGCCGGATAGGTGGACATTTGAGATATACTTTGTGTAATGTTTCTCAATATGACTTCAGAATTTTCATTTCAATTCTTGTATGCCACACTTAGGTGGTCGGATAGGTGGACATTTGAGATATACTTTGTGTAATGTTTCTCAATATGATTTCAGAATTTTCATTTCAATTCTTGTATGCCACACTTAGGTGGCCGGATAGGTGGACATTTGAGATATACTTTGTGTAATATTTCTCAATATGATTTCAGAATTTTCATTTCAATTTTTGTATGTCCCACTTAGGTGGTCGGATAGGTGGACATTTGAGATATACTTTGTGTAATGTTTCTCAATATGATTTCAGAGTTTTCATTTGATTGTTTTATGCCACACTTAGGTGGTCGGATAGGTGGACATTTGAGATATACTTTGTGTAATGTTTCTCAATATGATTTCAGAATTTTCATTTCAATTCTTGTATGCCACACTTAGGTGGCCGGATAGGTGGACATTTGAGATATACTTTGTGTAATGTTTCTCAATATGATTTCAGAATTTTCATTTTAATTCTTGTATGCCACACTTAGGTGGCCGGATAGGTGGACATTTGAGATATACTTTGTGTAATGTTTCTCATATGATTTCAGAATTTTCATTTAATGTTTATGCCACACTTAGGTGGCCGGATAGTGGACATTTGAGATATACTTTGTGTAATGTTTCTCAATATGATTTCAGAATTTTCATTTAATGTTTTATGCCACACTTAGGTCGGATAGGTGGACATTTGAGATATACTTTGTGTAATGTTTCTCAATATGATTTCAGAATTTTCATTTAATGTTTATGCCACACTTAGGTGGCCGGATAGGTGGACATTTGAGATATATTTTGTGATGTTTCTCAATATGATTTCAGAATTTTCATTTAATGTTTATGCCACACTTAGGTGGCCGGATAGGTGGACATTTGAGATATACTTTGTGTAATGTTCTCAATATGATTTCAGAATTTTCATTTCAATTCTTGTATGCCACACTTAGGTGGCCGGATAGGTGGACATTTGAGATATACTTTGTGTAATGTTTATCAATATGATTTCAGAATTTTATTTCAATTCTTTATGCCACACTTAGGTGGCCGGATAGTGGACATTTGAGATATATTTTGTGTGATGTTTCTCAATATGATTTAAGAATTTTTTTTCAATTGTTGTATGCCACCCTTAGGTGGTCGGATAAGTTGACATTTGAGATATATTTTATGTAATGTTTATCAATATTATTGGAATGCCATAATTTTGACTTGTTATTGATATATTGACACTCACAACATAGCATCTGTTTAATCTATATACTTTGATATACTTTGTGTAATGTTTCTCAATATGATTTCCAAGTTTCCATTGCGATTGTTTTATGCCACACTTAGGTGGTCGAATAGGTGGACATTTGAGATATACTTTGTGTAATGTTTCTCAATGTGATTTCAGATTTTCATTTGATTGTTTTATGCCACACTTAGGTGGTCGGATAGGTGGACATTTGAGATATACTTTGTGTAATGTTTCTCAATATGATTTCATTCCAATTCTTGTATGCCACACTTAGGTGGCCGGATAGGTGGACATTCGAGATATACTTCGTGTAATGTTCTCAATATGATTTCAGAATTTTCATTTTAATGTTTAATGCCACACTCAGGTGGCCGGATAGGTGGACATTTGAGATATATTTTGCATGATGTTTCTCAATACGATTTAAGAATTTTCATTTTAATGTTTAATGCCACACTTAGGTGGCCGGATATGTGGACATTTGAGATATACTTTGTGTAATGTTCCTCAATATGATTTCAGAATTTTCCTTTCAATTCTTGTACGCCACACTTAGGTGGCCGGATAGGTGGACATTTGAGACATACTTTGTGTAATGTTTATCAATATGATTTCAGAATTTTTATTTCAATTCTTTTATGCCACACTTAGGTGGCCGGATAGATGGACATTTGAGATATATTTTGTGTGATGTTTCTCAAATGATTTAAGAATTTTTTTTTCAATTGTTGTATGCCACCCTTAGGTGGTCGGATAAGTTGACATTTGAGATATATTTTATGTAATGTTTATCAATATTATTGGAATGCCATAATTTTGACTTGGTATTGATATCTTGACACTCACAACATAGCATCTGTTTAATCTATATGTTGCACCATAGGGTTGGAATAGGCGAACATTTGTGATATGCTCTGTGTATTTCTCAGTTTCAAATATATAACACGTTTGGATCAATTTGTTTCGATTTGTCTACCTTCACGTTGCATTTTGAGTATTTTTTGATATAGAAGAATATTTCCAACACCAAACACAGTGCATCTCCCTTGCACGAAAGACGGAACATTGAAAAAGAAATGCGATTTTTTGTGATAAATATTGCTAAATGGTTGGAATCCATCGGAAATTGAAGCGAGGTCATACGCTTTAAAATGCGTATTAAAATAAAAGCAACATCATTTATGTAGACATCCAGGGCGACATATAAGAGGGGTCCGGCTTAGTGCCGAAATAGGCTAAAACATTTGGTGGTCTGAATTAAGTGGACGAATTAAGCGGACAAAAATTCTATATCTCTTTTATAGAGAGGATTGTGTTGACTCTTTTTCTCCGTAGTTGTCAACGGCTCTCGCGCTCTCCAAGCACGTATTTAAAAACAATGATACGGACACAGGAACGACGTCCGCTTAAGTACTGCAATTATGGCAGGTCCGTTTAACTACCGTAATAGAGTTATATATATATATATATATATATATATATACGAAAAATCTTACCCTTCCTATTGAATGTCGACTCGGTAGATGAACTAGTTTCAGTATTTTACTATCTATCATAAATTTTGAAAAGTATTGGAATCCTGATGCTTAGCGATATATCTAAGTACCGGTAGCATTCGTGGCATTATGGATTAATGAATAATTACGTTTTCCATAATTTTGTTCTAGATAGTACTTCGTTGTACCGAAGATTTATAGGTTATCAACGGTATTTCAACCACTTCTTTGAGGAACTTTTTCGTTGTCAATAAGAAACTGTATATCAGTTACTATTAATTTAAATATTCAATCCTTTCAATTCGATGATTTTTTTCAAATATTGGCCTCGATCCGGAGCAACTCGAAAATCAACAGGCTGATATATACCAACTAGATCCGACCAGAAGTAAAACTGAATACGTTTGTAAAAAAAAACAGTCCAACACATCATGTCACTTGTTGGAATGTTGCATAGCTGTTTGTGAATATATAATAATAGTTCAATATTATCAATTTCAATTGATCATTTTCACCATTTTAGTTTACAAAAATGATAACAAATGAACATGTGAAATTATAGTGCAAGATATTTGAAACTTCCGATATAGTATTTTGGATTATTGCTACAATGTTTTTGCAGTCGGTCGGTGCATACGGTTTCTTCAACTATACCAACATATGGAAAGATGAAAGAAGGGCGCTACCGTAGTATGTGAACCAAGATGGCGGACACCTGAACATAGTATGTGTACTAGATTGGGCCATAATTTTATCCAATTTTCATTATTTTAGTTTCATTACGGTTCAGGAACTAGCCAAGTGACTTCCAGTAGTATTTGTACCTGAAATTATGGCCTAACCCTAACGTGGTACACATCTACGTTCCGGTGTCCGCCATCTTGGTTCACATACTACGGGGTACCAGAAAGAAGTAGTCTAATCAGCCAGGCATAATTAAGTACCTTGTAGATATCCCTAATGTCTTTGTGTGAGTTCAAATCATATTCTGAATATGGGATAATTTCACCATAAGTTAGTGGCTAAAATGTCCGACCTTAGGAAATTATTAAACTAAAACTTGATCAATTTATTTGTATAGTATCATCATTGGTTTTAAAAAAATTGATTCTCTAGCATTGATACTTTGTATTGCGGTTCAGGTATGTTGCATGTTCAACAAGAAAAAAAAACTAACTAAATGAAATATATTCGATTCTAAATAATGTTTGTTTTTTTACAAATCTCAGACTTTTGTCACTGTGTAAAATAAGATGAAATATTTTAATGTAGTTATTATACTTACCCACGATAATTTATTTATTTCGTATTTGAACCAAGAAGCAATTTCGATAATCACAAATAGATGTTGAATCTGATTCTTCATCGTTCAGAGCCTAGCGGTAATTTTCAAGCATTCACAGAATTGTTGCAAAGCAATCGACAAAGCAACGTTACTATGTTACGGAATTTAGCAGCGACTATTATTCAAAACATGATTTAGAGCAGGGGTGTCAAAATTTTTAAATTTTTTTTTGTTTTCAATTTGACCCAATTATGGATACACCTCAAGCTAGCAAAATAAATCTTGAAAAAACACTTCATGATTAATGAAAACGCCATGTACATGAAGAAGGTGGCATTTTTGAAGAAAATTGCAATATTTCTGCATTTCTCGAAATTCTAAAGCACATTGTCTTGTCAAATTTCCATCGGTACAATGAAAGAATACAATATAAGTGGACATTATCAGAATAAGCTCAGCAGTCAATATGACAAACTTAAAGATCAACTTCGAACAGATAATTTTTATGTGTTTGTATATTATTAAAATTATACAACTACCCAGTTACTAAACACCAATATCAATCATAACTGAAGCGGTGCTATGCCACGTAATGGTAGGAAATGTGGCAGAAAATGTCTGGTCCAATAAGTCATTTGTTTGTTTACTAATCTGTACATGAAAAGATAAACGTAATATTTTTGCATTACTGAAATTAATCAAACATTCTCAACGATCCAGATTAACCGATGATTATGTGACCTCGTTAATTAGTTGGTACTGTAAAATTATTTTAGCCAGATATTAGTAAGCTGGTGGCACAAAAGAGATGCCAAATGTCAGGACATATGTAATAAAAAAACATTGAGTTTATTCTGTAGTATTTTTTTTAAATTTTAGATCTATATATTTAGATTAAGTCATGTCATGTTCTTTTCTTATCAAAACTTTGTTCAAAAATGTTTTGGATAGTTGTACATAAAAATTTATGATTCTTGTAATAAATACAGTAAATTGCAATATAGTGAATGCAAAAATTAATACGTATATGGCATTTGAATTTATGAAAATAATCTTGTATCTAGAAAAACTTCATTCGGCTGTTTAATTGCATTACAATATATGTCACAAACTACACCTATCTACAAATATGCTTCAAGTGGGCTTATACATTATCAAAAACTGTTTGCGGCCCTTTGCACAATTCCCAAAATACAATGCGACCCTCGAAAACCCACGAGTTCGACACCCCTGATTCTAGAGTGCTTTTACGGAATGTACATTAGTGCCTTTCATTTTTAAATGTTATTAGGCACACTATTTAATTGTGTTGGCCGGTCAATGTCGTGTGTTTTATCTCTTTTTATTGCATTTCCACTATCATCATGATTAAGAGTTCATTTCATGTTTCCTTGCAAACACAATCTTCCTATTACCGTTATTTGTCTACCTCGTCGCCATCTTCCTCACATTGCGTTTCACCGTCTACTCCAATTTTATAAACCAAATCGACTGACTACTCCTGTTCTGTTTTTCTCGTGTTATTGTGTCGATCTTACTGAACGTTAATCACAATATTGAACTGAAAAAACAAGTCAATTAATTGACTTTAGTTGAAAAGTTTTCGGTATGACTTCACAATGGATTGCCCTGAATTGTTTCAATACTTGTTATCATACTTTTTGCTTGATCATCGACACAACCTTGTCACTAGAGTAATCATATGAAAGACAGATTTTAATAAAGCATTGTATAAAAGCATTTTTATTATTCACATTTCTTGGAATTGAAAATTCATAAACAATAAAAATGGTACAAAATTATACGAAACTACTATTATTGTTCGTCTTTCTACTTGGTATAAGCGTGGAATGCGCGAAGCTTATGCATACAGTATTCATGAATGCTCGACAAACAGTAAAAGTAAGGAAGCACTATTGACTGAACTAAATATATAGCAGCCTATACTAATGTTTATTGTTATACAAATGCATCGCTAATTATCACAATCCTTTTTCTCATTTACAATAGCCTACACGTGGCTTTCATTTACTTTACACTTGGAAGGGACAAAATTTTAAAACATTAATATTATATGCTATTAATTAGAGTTACGCAACACTAGCAACCAATGGTTCTGCTATACTTTGCATTGGTAGATCCATCCATGTGTGTACAATATAAAGATGATAGAGTAAATATTTGATGACACAGCATCCAAGATGTTGTAAGTAATCATCTTTGTCATTAAAAAGCGATTGTGTGATAAGTTTGTCAAAATGTAGAATGGAATTTCATGGCTGCGTTTCAAAATATAAAGTCGCCATCAGCAATTACTGCGTTAACGGTATATGACTTTATTCTGGCAACAGTTTCTCTACTAACGTACGTCATTTATTCTAGCTTCGTGGTAACAATTCGAGCCTTCCTCTCCCGAAAAGTGTTTGCATCTTGTCATGTTTTAGGATGAGTATGAGCTACTCCGTAGACTTTTGCGTGATAAATCATGTATTCATACACGTACATCTCGTCTGGAGTAACTTTGTGAAAAGAAATAGGGTAGATCGAACTGCATTCTATCCCCTGAAATAATAAATTAAATTTTACTAACATTGCCTAATACAAGCGATAGACTTGAAGTACAATGTGAACGATATCATGCTATGCTATATCTTGTGAATCCACAACGTCAACATTTGGTCAAATGATACTTTATCGATTTCATCAATTCAACATTAGAAATAATAGAAAATCGGTATTTACTGTATAGTGATCTTTTGCAATTTATTTTGCACAAATTAAAGAACTCTCTTTGTGAAATTAGCTTGTAGCTTGCACTGATTTCACCTTACATCAACTAACGCAATACAGATACAGTGAGTTGCAATCTTGATCACTGGCATATCGAGATTCATGTATGAGTTTAACCCTGCAGCAGAGGTGTTGATGTCATTGTCCGATGACATTATCTGGTCTGCCATGAGTATTTATTATATTGTAAACCTCTACTCAATAATGATTCATGACTTCGTGTTAGCGGGAATAATAATATGTTTTATAATTTAATGACACTTTATTTACTGTAATTTTTATTTACTGAGGCCTAATCGATTTCATTAATTCAACATTGTCGAACCCATTTGCACCCAGTTTTTACAATAAAATCACGACTTCATTTTCAGCGGCCTCAATGGTCAGTTTTAAAAATCTTTAGATATATCTTTTTTGATTATAACTTCATGGGATTCCGGCGACAATTCTTTATGAGCCTGTCCGGATCATACGAAACAAAGGATATTATTTACCCGACAACTAGGATAATAATCATAGTTGATCATAAAATTTCCTTGAGGTATCGGTTCCGGTTTAAGATGGAATTTCATATTAACAGGGTGGAAGGTATCTTTTTGTTTTTGGTCTCTCGAGTCGCCTGCTTCCACACCAACTATTTCCAAACACTTTCCTATTTCGACATCTTCAATTGCACCCCCTTCAGGACATTTTTTCGTATCCAATCCATGAACATATCTATGTTGAATGAAAAAGAGAGGCCCCAATGCGTTGACATTTTTTGTGAATATCCATCATATATATATATAGATATGGATATACACATCAATATATATATATATGTTTAAATATTCGATTAACACGCAAAGTTTCATGAGTTCAGAGAACTATTTCATACTTTTATGACCGATCATTTTCCTTATTTTTACAACCGATGTTCTTTACTATGCTTTCGGAAAACAGCTAGACACGAAACGACCACTATAATAATATCATAGTTTAATATAGGCTAATAACGCGTTTCAGTGTAGAAATCAAACTTCACATAGCGTAAATCTAATTTAAGTCAGTGATATCGTTGTATCACATTAACAATCAAGCGGATATAAACCGTGGTAACGATTATGGAAACAAAGCTGCAAAGCTGGCAAAAGGTTTTTACATTCCATTCAAACTGTGCGACAGCGAACCTACAATACTTAAATTTTATTTTGAAATTAAATTTTTCTTTTTAAAACAGTGCAAATGTTCGCTTCACAACAACTTTTTGAAAATAAAAATTGATTTACCACAACTGGCATTTACTTGAAGATTGTATTGAGCAGTTTTGAATCAATTTTTGACTTTGGTGAATATGAAATGAGCAAATAAATATTGACAGTCGTCGTGCGTACATCTTTACTTAAATATTTACCTTTCCAAAGCTTCTTTACTCAAAACATATCCTGCTCCGCCACTCATGTATCCTTGTTTAACAAAGAGCTTGAACCTTCGACCAAAATGTAACGGTGTTTGTGGGTCATAATCTTTTAGTAAAAATCTGTTGAAAAAGATACAAAAAACAGTAAAATCCAATGAAATTTCATAGATCTATTAGTTAGATTCTATTTATGACTCTAGAACAACTTGGAAATAAATGATTTGTAATAAATTTCTAGATTCCCATTTTTTCGATTCGCATCAAATATTGGCCAAAACGGCTGTGATACAATTTCCTGATATAACTCATTTTGCCCTTCTTATTTAACATAAAATTAAATAATTAACATGACTGAAACACACAGGATTTCTCCGACTTTAATATTTTTCCAAAGACATTATTTAATTGACTAATTATTTCATTCCAACCACCCATGGTTATCCAATTTTATTAAAAAAATGGTATCAAAGTATTAAAGATTTAGCGCACGTATATTTATATATATAGTTTAGGATGACAAGATAAATTAAACTTCAGTTAAATACTTATTGATGTAATAATGTGCTTATGTCTTGCCCGTATAGATTAGGCTTTGAAAAATGTTACAATTATTTTTAAATGTTTTTTTTTATCTTCAGAACACATCCTGCAAATTGCATTTAAAGCCTTAATTAAGTCTTTTTTCTACCTTAAATTTTCAGCAACTAGATAAGTGTCATCATCAGCTTTCAAAAACCAATCGGCTTGGTCTTTGTAGTGTTTCCAAATGTATTTATACGCTTCCTTTGTCTTCTCATACAATTGGGACCGGCCTTCTCTAACAGGGAGTCCAACTGCAGGAAAGGTCTATAGCATATATAATTGGTAAATGAATGTGATGTTACCGTACATTGCTAATTAGGCTTCACGCTGCTTGTCAGCAGGGAACCTATTGTATTCCTGTGTTTTATTATTAGGCTTACCGCTGCTTGTCAGCAGGGAACCTATTGTATTCCTGTGTTTTATTATTATTATTTATTTATTATTATTATTATTATTATTATTATTATTTATTTTTATTATTTTTTTTTCAAATTGGTCCTACAAACTTGAAATTCACTTCAAATGTGCAGAAGTTCTCAGCTAGCAATAAAATGCAAATTTTATGCATGACTGACCACGCTTTCACGCTCCAGTGAGCAAAACGCGTTTTCAGTTTTTTTGCGATTTCTCAAAATTGACACATGCTATTGGGTTGAAATTCATAACAATGATTAATAGACATTTTTCGGATACAATATGTCAAGGATACGCATGAGTGACCTCGGCGATACGCTCCAGTGAGCAATATAGGATTTTACATTTTCATCTTCTTCTCGAGAACGACACTACTTAGAGACTTGAAATTTACATCACATGCAGATAATAAGTCCCCCATCATAAATTGCAAATTTTATGCATGACTGACCACGCTTTCACGCTCCAGTGAGCAAAACGCGTCTTCAGTTTTTTTGCAATTTCTCAAAATTGATACATGCTATTGGGTTGAAATTCATAACAATGATTGATGGACATGTTCCGGATACGCTATGTCAAGGATACGCATGAGTGACCTCGGCGATACGCTCCAGTTAGCAATATATGATTTTACATTTTTATCTTCTTCTCGAGAACGACACTACTTAGAGACTTGAAATTTACATCACAAGCGGATAATAAGTCCCCCATCATAAATTGCAAATTTTATGCATGACTGACCACGCTTTCACGCTCCAGTGAGCAAAACGCGGGATATAGGATTTTACATTTTCATCTTCTCCTCGAGAACGACACTACTTAGAGACTTGAAATTTACATCACATGCAGATAATAAGATCCCCATCATAAATTGCAAATTTCATACATGACTGACCACGCTTTCACGCTCCAGTGAGGAAAACGCGTCTTCAGTTTTTTTTTTACGCGGGAAGCCTGTTAAAGCTGCACGCAGCTCTAGTTATTATTTATTATTATTTTTTTTTTTTCAAATTGGTCCTACAAACTTGAAATTCACCTCAAATGTGCAGAAGTTCTCAGCTAGCAATAAAATGCAAATTTTATGCATGACTGACTGACCACGCTTTCACGCTCCAGTGAGCAAAACGCGTCTTCAGTTTTTTTGCGATTTCTCAAAATTGATACATGGTATTGGGTTGAAATTCATAACAATGATCAATGGACATGTTCCGGATACGATATGTCAAGGATACGCATGAGTGACCTCGGCGATACGCTCCAGTGAGCAATATAGGATTTTACATTTTCATCTTCCCCTCGAGAACGACACTACTTAGAGACTTGAAATTTATATCACATGCAGATAATAAGTCCCTCATCATAAATTGCAAATTTTATGCATGACTGACCACGCTTTCACGCTCCAGTGAGCAAAACGCGTCTTCAGTTTTTTTTACGCGGGAAGCCTGTTAAAGCTGCACGCAGCTCTAGTTTGTAGATTGTCTCTGACTTGCAAGTCACCCGTTCACCCTTCAGCTTCAACGCCAACGTGAATGAAGATGCGTTAAAAATCTCTATATGCTTTTATTCGTAAATTTACACAACACACAGAATACAAATCCTAAAACATTTATCCAGACTCGCTTTGAATGGTTTACATCGTCTTCTCTATCGAAAGATATCGGAGTCGTATTTATACGTCGATCATAAATCCAATTAAATACTGTAAACGTGAGCTCGTGATTCACGTTATAAACAGGAACTCCTATTATCTCAATAAGGGTAATTATGTACATCGTACGGATGGGAACTTAGATATAATTATTTCAATCAGTGCCAAAGGTCTTGAGAATATAAATTTTAATTTGATAATGACTGGGTGGAACCTGTTATGTTCTTAAACCTGGTGTAATTTGATTTCTACGAAAGTCTTTGTTCGAACTTTGTTTTCATATTTTTAACATGAAATGGGGTTACATTTGGGGATTAGTTGCTATAGGTCTAGATCAAAATAAAAACCAATATCTATAGCAATATCAAAAACTCATATTAGTACTGTATATACTGTATAAAGATAGATCTTGCGGATTATACCTTGTTTATATACATAAATTGTAAATTCCAAGCACCTAATATGAACAGAAAATACTTAAAGTTAAATCACCTTATTTTCCACGGAGCTCATGAACAAACGCACGTTACATCTTTTTGACCACGTATCTCTTACGTGAATTGCCTTACTGAGTAAAGTTGCAGGTGACGTCATGATCCAACAAAAAACGCGAACTCTTCGGTAAAGTTGTTCCGCCGTTCTATTGTCATCTATTTAAAGGGGGTTTAATTATCACTCCCTATATATATATATATATATATATATATATATAGTAGATCACATATAGTTCAAAGTGTTTAGGTGAATTGATTGATAGTGTAATTGTGAGACTGATACGTGGCCCTTTTCCAAACATTACTTTATCAAAAGCAGCATAAAACACTTTAGAATTGACGAAATTGTGATCTGATTAACTTTAACATATTGTTTTTTAAGTCTTAGCAAAATGGATTAGCTGAAATGTTTCGATGTTCCGTATATTTATATGTAGCATATATTTTCATCGAATTGAATGTGCATCTGGATCGTTTTTTTTTCAAACGTGCGAAACATATATTGAACTAAATTATACTGACTATTATTACTTAATATCGTCGAATAATTGAAGTTTTCATAATACAGAATCTCAATAATTGTGATAATATTTAGTCAAACCTTCAGCACTATGATGAAAATCAGAATGGTTTGCCAACAGGTGCCTCGAGGTATTACTTTTTGTGGAATAGTGAATGTTAGATTTGCCATCATATTTACTATATTTATCGTATTTCTTGTCAGTCTTTTCAACTGAAACAGGTAAGCTCCTCCTGAAATGTGCATTACATTTAAGTAATATAAATAGCGTATAATAGCCCTACCCGCACAAATATTGAACATCTTTCGTTTGTTCTTGTTGAAATAGGAAATTGAAATTCTAAAGGCCCATGGCACGTGTGCATTTTTACATCTATCTAACAAATATTCACAGTTAGGGCTTCGAGGAAACCAGCCAGCCTACACTGAGTAAAGGTTCGTGAAGGGTATGGAGTCCAACTTAAAATGTCAAACAACATGCGTGCAAGCGAGCAAACTACAAATTGTATCACCGTATATTTTATTCATATTAAAATATGGAGTTTCAATAGGAACTATTATAGATACTCCATATTATATATCACTTACCCGTGGTACATCTCATGAACCCAAAAAATCTTTGGAAATCTAGAGATACACATATCATAAAATTTAGCGAATTACAATGGAACGTTCAATACAGGAAAATCACTTACCAAAAACCAGTACTAGACGAATTTTGATAGTACAAAAACATCAGTATAAATTCTGTTCCAAATACAAACCCGCTCATAAAAGATAAAGAAATATGTCTGAAATTCGACATTTTTGTGTAACTAGCTGAAATATATTTTTTATAAAAAGTCCATAAATACAGACAGCATTTTCTCTCGGTACAGGTTCTCACGAAACTGAATAGAAGCTGAAAATAGTCCTATTATCCGATCATTTATTGGTTAAGGTGATCTGTAGATTTCTGTAAAAAGAATGTGAGAACGATGATAAAACTATTCGATTTCAGCTTCTCACCAATATAGTATAATTTTTACGTATAAATTATCTATTTTAGCAATAGTTACGATAGTTTAGCAGGCATACCCCAAAACATATGGGACCTGTTCTAATATCACCATTGTACTAAGCGTTAATTCAATGTAATTAATGTAGCATCTTACTCTCTGAAAATTCATTTTTTTCTTTGTGGAAGAATGCTTAATTACCAACCATGATATACTTTGTAGGTATATTGAAAGAAAGATATGCTGGAGTTCGCGAAGTGTACCCTTCATCTACCAATTTAAACCATTGCTGAAATGTAGGTTCTACTTTTTACATATATTATAACCAGTGATCAGCTGGAAAAATCGTAACAACCGGAACGCACCTAATTCGCAAAAATGTAATATATTTACAACACGACGCGAACGTTTACAGAAAGTTTTGTCTGGCCTAAGATAAAGCCGAAGCACTACAATGAAATATGAAGAAATTATCTGAACTATGTCTGTGTAAAATTACAATAATATTCATAGCGATTTAATACAAATGTTATTATTAAAAAGGTATGAGATGAATTTCCACGAGGTCAAAGGTCGGGGAAACATATATTACACGTTACTAATGTACTGATATATAATTATTTGCGTGATGTGATGTAAAAATAACTACGAATTATGATATAACAAAACATAAATTATTAACTAGATTCACCAGAGAAATTAGACTTTTTGAACAATAATTTTGTTTTAACAACAGGAACGCAAATGCAATAAAATGTTCAACAAACGGAACGCCGTTCTGGTGCGTTCCGGCTACAGCCCACCACTGATTATAACATTGAACTTAACTGTGAATCGGTATCTTTAATCCGCTTTCAAGATACGTACGACGTACTACATTCCTTATTTTCTAGTATGACACGCTAGCGGTCACTTGTGCCTCCTATTTACTTAGAATATTCATCGATCTCTTCTAAATAAGTTCTACTAGTCTTATCCTATACAAATCAAAGAAAGACAGTGTTCGGTGAGTTCAGTGGTATACCGGATACGTCCGCTGAGTTTCCTGTAGATTTCTGTTCAAAACACTCTCAAATAGCGTCTGACATTTTGCAATTCTAACCGCTTGAACCCGGCAAGTCGGTTTACCGGCTTGTTTGAGTACGCTCTGTGCCCCGGCAAGCCGGTTTACCGGCTTGTTTTTCGTGTCGGAAGGAATCAACTTTATGATCTCGTATCTCAAGAACCACAATGAGTATTTAAATAAATTTTAGATTGCATGAAAGCTTGTTATTGGGACTAATTATATTGTAAATATCGGTGCTCTAATATACGATGTTTCAGTAAAATTGGCAATTTGAAAGTGCGTATGAAAATATTGTATGATAACAAATATTTAATATAAAGAATTTCGACTTCTTGCCTAAATAGCCACATATTCAATCGGCAATATATGTTGAGAATTTGGATAGCTTTTGATATACGTATCCAAAACGATTTTACGATGAGCCATTCAAATTTTATGGCCAAATATATTAGATTATCTGTAGATTTAACAGCGACGCTGCGTCAAAATGATGTTCTCATTGAAGAGAGGCTACGTCTCGTCACGCACAACTTTACGTATATTACGCAAATGCAACTAAACGTGACGATATCCGCAATGACGTTACGTCGAGATGTTATTATTTAAATGTTCGCAGGAAGTAATTAATTAACCCGATGCTACGCATTCAAAATTCGCACTACGCTTTGACTTTGACTGCCCGCTCAAGCCCCATTAAGTTGTGGTTACGTATACGCAATATGAACAAGATTGTGATTTTATTAGCAAATAACGGAACAATAAAGACCATGAAAAATGTATGTACATAAAAGACTGCTTGCTAAAAATTTTAAATTGAATATTGCACTTTGTTGTGCCCGGAACAATGAAGAACATGAAAATATTATGCAGATAAAAGACACATTCTAAATCCAATATTGCACTTTGTTGTGCCAGTTATACCCATGGTTGTTGGTTTCGTTACCTATACATAGGTACTCATTACAGTATTTGTACTTATATACTGTCTCGCATCGTTTCAGCAACGCTTTGTCTTTAGCAGCTGGATTGGTTTTTTGGCAATAATGTGAATTTTGCTGCATACGACGCATCTATTATTAGAACTGGCGTTTTGTGATAGGGTATCTAGTTCTGGCGACGCATATGATCTTTTCTTGGTGTCATTGTATGGACCAGCTTGTGTTCAACGTCAACGGATTATTCGCTATTTGATTAAGGTATAATTAAGATATTTATGCCCGTCCCGATTAAATTATAATCGGGCCGTGTAGAGTTCCTAGGATAAAAATAGCCTTCTGGCGACTTCTTCCATCTACAAGTACTGAAAATTTGAAATTGATTGTTGCAGTAGGACATTGCACATTATGGACAACATCATTTGGTTATAACTGTATGGAAGTTTTTGGAATCTGGAGGTTAGAAAACAACAGAACTGCAGAAAGCTGGAAAGTGGATAATATCATACCGGTACGATACCGTACCTTGCAGCATTGTCCAAAACAATGAGAATGGCATAAAATAAATCAACACTTCAGCATATCCAATATCGAAGTTAAAGGGGGTGTACTATATGCAGCTCTTTGCTGGCATGGGGTTACAATTTTAAAGACAATCACAAATTCTTCAATTGCACGCGTGCCACAAAAGTCATCTTATTTCAAAGGCTCAAGTATTCATGTTGGATTTCTTGATTTCAAACAAGTGATGTCCCACCTAGCACTGAACAATGTTTTACAATTAGGCAATGCATACCTATTGCTCACTAATATTTCAAATGAATATAACTCATTTCTTTTTTTATTATGAGCTATATCCTTACTTAGTAGATATTATTTGGTGGTATTTTTTTTTCTTTTTACTGCCAATAATTTATATATTTTTAATCACATTTTCAACCACTTTACTTGGATTATGTGGCACATAGGACACAAGCATTATTTAACTTTTCTTATTATTCTTATTTTCTTTTATTAATATTTAACTTATTTATTTTCGCTCAAAGCTGCTTTTACTGTTTTAATAAATTCTTTTACATCTTAATGTTGCTTACCAGTATTGGTAGTTGTATGAATATTGTTTTGGCAAATGGTTCCAATGTATATAGCTATTTTGTATTTTTTCCAGACACACTGCCCTAATCTTTTTTGCTGTGTTCACTACTAGTCATGCTTTGTTCGATCCTTGTATTTGCAGCTATTTCAGGCCTGTCTGTAGGCTACTATATCACTTTATTTTTGTGCTTTTCGATCATTCTATGATGGCTAACATATTTTTAAGGCCCTATTTCATAATCATAAGGAGCATGACCCCCCCTTGCATAGCACTCTTATTGAAATTTTCTGTGTTCAATATTTGTTAGCAAACTTATCAAAGAAATACATCTATGAAATCAATTTGGATTTTTTTTTAGTGATTTTGCAAATTTACACTTTATTTCCAATGTTCAAATCTTCATGCTGCCTTTCATGTATGCATTTTTTTTTATCTGGTTTGTACATTTGATAAATTATTGGTAATTTTTTTATGTATTCGAAAGCAAGATGTTTCCTACAGCTATTTACCTATTTAGAAATACACAATCTAGAATTCCAGCCCCAGAGTTTGCTGCATTCAAATATTCAAAATCAACTTCATTTATATATATGATATGTGGGGTAAATTCTGGTGATTACCATAATTGGACGGAAGAGGTCGTCAGAAGTCTATTACATTTAATTTATCTACCTAAATTTTGTTATATTTGGGGAAGTTGTCCACTGAACCCTTAAAGCATTGCCCGATTCTGAATCGTGATTTTTATATTCTTGTGATAATAATATTTTTTTTTTTTGGTGGGCGGGCGCGTACTTTTACGTTTTTAAACTTCATTCTAAGTTATGCTCGCCTTCCAGGTATGTCTGCATTTTGTTTGTTTGTCCAGTTTTTGTGTTGTTTTGTTTTTATGTCAGAGTACCGAAATAAATGATTGATTGATTGATTGTTGGAATAAGAGTTGCTCTTTCTGCATTATTAGTTCTCTCAGATATTGATCCATCCACTTGCTTCGCCTAACATTCGTACAATCAGATATTTTGATCTGCAGAGCAGGCAAGTACTTATTTTGGTTGATATTTGAACAAATACTGATGGGCGAATAAAACATTTTCCACGTGAAATTTTATATGGCGATATTAACTTCCCTTCACTTCGCTATTACTGCACGCATTACTCGACGTCGGTACTTCAATCCATACAGGGTTAATATCATATCGAAACTCGGCGACCGATGTCCCGCTGAGAACGTCGTCGTGAAAGTTATCTTGCGCATTTTGCCACGCAATACGTTTCGAACGTACTTATCAACATCTTCATGACGGTAGTCACGTGATCGGCTTTTGCGTAGCTGCGTAATCAGTGCGTTATGGCCGCTTATCGAAGTTGTTCACCCGACACAATGATACACAATTAAATATTTAAATATGAAATTGGGTATATGGCAGCCACAATAGTAATTCGAATATCAACACAACGCTTATAAAAAACTCTTTATGAACATCAAATATTGGCAGTATATTTTGTACCAAAGTAACAAAATTTCAAGCCAAAACTCACATACATGCAGAAAAATCACTGTTAGATCAGGGTCAATTTTATTAATTTTGACAAAATGTATTTCGAAATTTTTATTGTTGTATTCAAATATATTTGAATATAATAAGTGCATTACACGTGCTTTTCATCAACTTCAGACAATAAACTCGAAAATATCGCTTCATGATGGATGATGATGTTATC